CTTCTTGTATGGTATATAATTGGATTTCAATCGACTAATACAGCGAAGGTCATGACGAACAAGATCCTAATTGATTGAATGTAAATTAATGAAGTGTATTTTGAATAATGTATTGCTGAGTTCAATTTGTCGTGAATCTTACCTTACCTTGATAAGACGAAGCATATGTCGGCCAACGTATGATTACTCTAAAGTGCTTAATATCATTTTCCTGCGATATCGAACTAAATTTAAAGCACGAGGTCAATCAACAATTTTCTACAATATAAAGGATTAGAGAATGTATGTATTTCTTGAAGTTTTCTTGTCGCATGCTTCATTCCCTAGTAGACCAATAAGGCGTGTCATAGTTGGCTGTAAAGTACCACTTCACTATACTATACGAGATAATGAATTTATAAATATAACCATGTCAAAAGTAAATGAACCCTTGAGTAGCAATCGAAATATTTGTAGACATGGTTTCAGAAGCAGAGTCATCAAATGGGGATTACCGTCAAATGAATATTTTCTGTCATCTCCAATCCTAGGTAGGAATAAGTGATATATGATATATGATAGCGCTCTCAAGCTAGCACCAACAAGTATCTAACTTTGTGCTACTTTATCGAATAGCAGCCTTGCGCCACCTCGTCATCGTAAGCACCCAAAGGAACGGCATATATATGCAACCAGTTTCTTGGTCCAGGTCGCCATTGGGACAACGCGCAATCAAACAGAGACACCAACTTCGATGCCACGGTACCATTTAACCCCACGAGCAGACCTATGAGAAACGAATTTCTGAAACTGAAATGCCGGATGATGTAAAGACGCTTAGGTAACTTCCCTCTTCGGCGGGACGATATATCAAGGCAAATTTTCGGGTTCGAGATAACTTTGCTGAGACATGACTCGGAATAGAACGAGGGCAATGAAGCTCGGCCGGATGTGGCTGCATAGTCACGATAAGCTGCATGGCTCTTTACTCCTCCTTTTCTGTAATGGCATGACTAGGAGAAATATTGATGCAGTCTGCGAGATGGAGATTAAAGCACAGGAAAATGCAATGCGTCTGGGTTTTTCGTATTTTTTATGCAGGCCTAAGATTGCACGATGCACATCGGACGCCACCAAGGGGATACGTCAGCATTGAGTGAAAGGAGAAGAGGAATACCACTTCGAGTAGACAGCAAAGAGTTGAACATCAAACGCAGAGTTATGGGGCCCGTCTACACGATCTGATCAAGTGACTGATAGTATGCAGGTCTTTTTTTTTTTCCTTGCGGAGGTAGTGGATCACTATCCTAGTCCATCTGATCCGTGAAGCCGGAATAGACACGCTGGGGTCAGAGGCTAGTCAGTCTAACTAATACTATAGCTTCTCATTGACTAGGTAGTTATGTATTGTTGCCTATTTCAAGTCTTATAGTTGTCTTGCAGACTATAAGCGATATAGTTATAGCTATATATTCTTCACTCTATGGCTACTCCACGCTGCTGTTAATAAAAACTTGTTATTAAAAAGTATAACTAGACCCATAGATCTGGTGAAGTTTTTGAAATATATTAGACCTTGGTAAAGCCTCTGACCTAAATCGCAACAGTAGGTGTAACCGAAATGCAGGAATAAGTATGCGTGACACGGTACCTTTTTGATCCCGCAATCCTTCAGAACCACAGATCCAGCGGCTCTGCTTACACGCTTATTCCGCTTGAGAATATCGTGACCTTACAAGGAGAAAAAAAAAAAAAAAAAAACTGACAACTATGGACAGACTGCGATGTAACGTGATATACCTTATTACGCCACAGTCGTGCGTGCGAGACACATATCAAGATCTCAACGCAAATTACCTAGGTATACAGATTGTCAAACCCAGTGCCGCGTTATCCCCCAGGCTGGGAAACGCAACTCTATACTCGCAACGCTACGACGGTTATGCAGTCTTGGCATATGCATCCGTCCCGGTCATTAGGCGGAAACTATCGAAAATTGACCCCCCTCGTCCCGCCAGCATGGGCTGGAATCTCCCCCCATAAGCCTCGATCTTGGCAGGGCAGCTAGCCCGGGTCTATTGCACCTACGTAGCTGATGTGTTCCGTCAAGATCGTTTGTTTCCCTAAAGTGGGACGGGGTCGAACGTGCCACGGCCGGTTATATTCAACGGTAGATACTGTACTTAAATTTAGCTTCATTCCAATGCAAGCCGTTTTCCTCGTTAGCCTTAGTGCACCTCGAAAACATGCGACTATTATAAACCTCGATCGCTTCTCTTCCAAGGCAAACTCTCGCCGAGTTCCTTGAAATAGATACGTTAGTACATAATAGCCTACTCCTAGGAACCGGACGGGAAAGCGTTACATTTCCTCATCTGACGGCTTTCGCTTCCGGATGCCCGGCATTCGACGGCCGCAGGTGCTCACCTAGTTATTGGTTCGGGAACCACGGGCTGCATCGTACTAGCCGGGTGACGGCCACCATAAGGATTCTATTATTGGACGTTTCGTGGTTCGCGTAGAATTAAATACTACCCGATACTGTAGAACTCATGCAGGCAGAACAAAGACGTGTCTAAAGGAGATAAGCTAACGTGACTAACAAGGAGCAAGGTAGAAATATTGATTCTACGTGACTTGAACTTGGAAACCTTGCGCTGGCACCGTCATCCTTGCCGGCGGGTCCTTCGAAATGTACCGGATCTGGGGATGGAAGCTACATGAGATGAAATTTCTGAACCTGGTTCTCTATGAAGAACGGATGTCGGCTATGCTCTATAGTCGTCTAGGAAACAAGTTACCTGATGGCTTGGTCATGGGGGACGTCTTGTATAATAAGGAGCGAGGCCGGCTGCCAGTTAAGGGGCTTTACGATGTACTATCACTCCCTTACTGTCTATCTACCGATTAGCCAACCCCGAGAGGCAAGGAGAACCATAGCCATTACTCGGAGGCTCTTTTGGAAGACAAGATGGTCTCTGCCTGGGCCCTCGTTTCGGCTCTCGCCCTGTCAGGGCTAGCTCTTGCTGACACTTGCTCCACCCTGAAGGACATTTCTAATATCGATGTTGCTGATCCTTTTGATCTCTCATATATCCACGAGCAGAACGAGTATTGGTCTACTTCGTGCTCTGCCCTGAAGCCTTCTTGTATTCTTTTCCCCAAGGATGCTAACGAGGTATCTGCCATCGTGAAGGTCCTTAACAATAACACGGAGCCCTTCGCCGTCAAGTCTGGAGGGCACAATCCTAACAATGGCTGGTCGAGTGTCAAGGGTGGCCCCCTTATCTCAACACAGAAGCTCAAGCAGGTCATCGTGGATCAGGAGACGGGTATAGCCAGGGTGGGACCGGGTCAGCGGTTAGACAGTATCTCAGCTGAATTGCAGGGAACGGGCTGGACATTTGTCGGTGGCCGTATCGGCAACACGGGCGTAGGTGGCCTTGTTCTCGGCGGTGGTCTGTCGTACATGTCGGCCCAATACGGCTGGAGTGCTTCCTCCGTACTGGAATACGAAATCGTTCTAGCTAACGGTACGATCACAACCGCATCTGCCACCAAGAATGCAGACCTGTTCAAGGCCCTCAAGGGAGGCGGCAACAACTTCGGCATCGTGACAACTTATGTTCTCCAACTATACCGCCAAGGCGACGTCTTCGGCGGCAACCTAGTCTTCCTTCGCACCCCCGAGAAAGACAAAAAGCTGCTGAAGGCCGTGCGGGACTTCACTGAGTACAACCAGGATAACAAAGCAGCGGTTATTGTCACGGCGGAACGCGGCAACATCGACCTCATCGATACCTGGATTCTCTTCCTGTTCTACGACGGCCCTGTAGTCCCCGAGGGAATATTCAAGAACTTTACCGATGTCGGGCCTCTCGTCGACACCACCAAGGTCCAGACCTACGCGAAGCTGATGGCCGGCAGCAACTGGGTCGTCGTCCCGCTGTCCGTCGTGCAGATCGGCACCGAGACGATCCCCATGCCTTCGGCCGAAAACAGTGTGAAAGTCATGGAGGGTATCCACGCCCACTGGCGCAAGACCACTGACACCGTTCTCCTCGAGCCGGGCATCATCGCCTCTATCGCGTACCAACCCTTCCCTAAAGCCATTGCCCAGGCTGCGAGGGCGAGGGGCGAGGATTTAATCGACACGGATGATGAAGCGCATCGTCTTATCATCGAGTTGAATTATAGCTTCCTACCCCAAGGTGACTATGCAAAGATGGATAAGAAGCTACAGGATACTGTAAGTACACTCTCGATCAAGCTTTGCTATTCCTTCCTGCTTTTTCTTTTTCTTTTTTTGGACTTATAAGGACAACTTGCTGATACTACTGTGCAATATATATAGTATGGAGGAGTCCGCGATCGTATCGTCGGCTGGCAGAAAGACGGGACCTTACCTGACGTGTACCTCCCCATTTTCATGAACTACGGCTTCCACCAGCAGGATTACTTTGCTCGTCTGCGTCCGGAGAGCAGGGCTTTCGCGCACGCGGTGTCGGAAAGTGTAGATCCTAATGGATTTTTCCGAAACCGAACTGGAGGCTGGAAGCCTTAAGCGTGCTGTTCATCTTTGATACCCATATACTAAAACCCGAGCAATTCGCGTCTTACCTCACCTCATCTCATCTCGTCTCATACTTTTTTTTTTTTTTTTTTTTTTTTTTTTTTTTTTTTTTTTTTTTTTTGCATTGCGCATTGATGATTCATGTATATATATTTATACATACAGGTGCGGCTGACGCGTCATAAGCTTCTTCGATGATGAAACAATATATATTATATTAATAAAGTGATTGAACAGCAACGATGCTTCGAATCTTCACTTGGTAGCACGTTGAATAACATGATAGACTCGATAGGTAGGTATCTTATCAAACGTCAACCCTCCCCCAACAAAAATAATTGCAGAGAGCAATCAGATGGAGGGGATGGCGTGATGGATGATGGATGATAGATAAAAGTTAAAAAAGATGAATCCTACCCATTGCTGGATAGGATCGTGATGCAGTGAGTGCGGTGAGTGCGGATCGAACGCACGACCTTCAGATGTTCTTCAGATGTTCTTGAATGAAACTAAAGTCTTCACTTCAGTCTGACGCTCTCCCAACTGAGCTATCCCCGCTTGATGAAAACTCTGAGGTTTAAGTTAAGTATATATAATAGGTTGTTAGGTTGTGGTAGTTTTGTGATGGTTTCTCTCGGTTCGTGGATCCAGCGTCGGTGTTTAGGGCTAACTAGGTACCTACTAATGTTTACTACGCCGGTAGTGTTGCGGGCCAATGCGGGACCCCCTTTTTTCGATACATCATATGAGAAAATGATATAATTATATAATGTAATAATTGTATAATGTAATAATTATATAATGTAATAATTATATAATGTAATAATATAATAATGTAATAATATATATAATGGTATATACAATATATAAATTGGTATAATAACCTGTATTATGTTTTTGAAAAGAATTGCTGCTATGGGGGTATTCGTTCGTAGATTACTCCTACGTAGAAGGATATCCGTACAGTATACCTAGGTACCTATGTATACTATATAAGGTACTAATATATAGAGGTACTTAGCTAATCGTAACGCGGTAGCATGAGAAACGTACTAAGGATCTCGAACAAATAAGTCTCGTATACTTAAATTTTAAAAAACACCCTTTCCCCCCCCAACCCAATATCATCATCCATTCCGACACACCGAGAAAGAAGTAAGGTAATAAATATTCACAATTGCTGCGTCGTCGTAAATGGTATAGTTAAAACATCCTCTATTAATCCGCTTCGACATTCCCTCCTTATTCTGTTGTTACAATCCCCCGCCTTAATTCCGCTTATGCGCCGGTACTTCGTGATTTTCCAGTTCGCCTCCTGCCCACCCCGAATCGAGCTCATTCGGCGTTTGAGAGTCAAGTTCGTAATGTTCCGTAGCTTGGTAGGGAGGTGTTGGGCCGTATGCTCCTGGAGGAGGGGTATATTGTGATTGCGCGTAACCGGTACCGGGTGAGACTAACGGCTCTTTATTGCTCCATTGCTCTGGGGGAACCGCCTGCTGTTGTTGGCCTTGCTGTAAGCCGTCGGGCGTGTTTTGAGGATTCTTCTTCTGGCGATATCGTTTTAAGAAGAATAGCAGACCAACGAGAAGAGCAATGACCACCACTAAGACGCCTATCACGATACCAGCAATCGCGCCACCTGAGAGGCCTGACGAGTTCGACTAGATTTGATATTTAGCATCACGCCTTATAACTCAAGAGAAGAATAGCCAAATACTCACGTCGTCTGAACTTAATGCGAAGCCGTCGATGGGATGCGCGTAGGCCTGGTCATTCGTGGCCGAAGCGACCCAATCGACCGTCGCTGTAACACTCGCGCTATCATACGCAGTGACCTTCACAGTCTGGCCGACTTGGAAATTACTATAACAGGTACCTCCGTACGCAGGCCGATTGGTATCTATTGGCTCGTCGGGAACATGAAGTTGGAAACCACTATCGATATAATTAGACTCCGTCATATGATAACTGACTTTTAGGGATAATATGTCATGTTTGGTTCCCGTAGCATGTAGGTATCATATGCTTCCATCGCGGGATGGTAGTATGGGCACAAGAGATCTTCACTTACGAGGCGCAACAAGCTATATATCCGTTGGGCCACGTTCTCGCTCCGCTCCAACCTTCAGGACAAACCAGCGGCGAGAACATAGGAGCGATAGAACTCGAGGCATTTTGTATCTACGACATGTTAGTAAATTCTTCCTACGACCCCCCAACAGATTTCTCTTTCAACATGTCATCCACGCAAATACAGAATACAGCATGGCGGACGATGATTGAGGTTTATCACATACTGAGACACAAGTTAGCATAACCCCAGAAGCATAACTCAGGAATAGCCGTGCTTGGCTATCGTAAGTACTAACCACTCGTATATCCGTTAATATACCCAGGCGGATAGCAGTCTCCAAACTTGGAATTCGGCACGGGCTGCGGCTCGTTCAGCCATATCTGATACCCCGGCGAAGACAGTTGCGTTAGGTGCATCTCCGCGCACGACGACGGCGGTGTAAAAGTCGTCGTTAGTTCCTTTTGCGTGAGGGTGAGAACCGAGACAGACGGCGGTGTTGTTGTCGGGTTTGAGGCCGCCTTCACCTCTACCCCCGAGGGGCTCGCCGCCGTAGTCGTAGTTTGGATGGTCATAGCAGCGCGTTAGGTAAAACCGGCGACAAGAGCCAACAACCAACAACTACTATTATAATTGCTACTACCACTACTCGATTATAGAAAGGTTGGAAAAACCAAAACCCGCTGTCGAACGATCGTCGGAATTGCGGAGGGGAAAGACAAAACAGAACCCAAAAAGCAAGAAGCAAAGCAAGAAAGCCTTCGGGACCGGTAGACAACGAACGGGGTGATCTAATTCCCCTTCCTTTTTGAAGGATCGGGACGGGGCCTGTCCATTAGAGAGAACGTACTATGTACGCTATGTATAAACTGGCTAAGTAGCATTTTTAATGTATGGAGCGAGCGAAAAGAATCCCTAGCAGGAAATCTACACTACATCAAAGGGCTGGGCTGACTGAGGCGACGCCAGGGTCACATCGTGGTTCTGGGTGTCCACTCCGCGGGACGAACTCCATCAACAGAAGTTCAGCTACACACCCTACGGGACGGACAACCCTACCCAAGTTTTTTTTTTCCCTATCAGTCCCCCCATCAGTCCCCCCCCCCATTCAGTCATTGGGGGCCTTGTTCTACAAAACCACCCACGTCCCCTGTCGCGTTTCAGTACTCGTATCGGAAAGCGTTGCTGCTATTGGCGTCGGGAATAGATAGATATTCTCCAGGTATTACCATGAGTGTGCATGTATGTACTTTTTTTCCTCAAACCTGCAGGGTCCCTTCTGTAGCAGAGCCAGTCATCTGGGTAATATCGCATGGTGGTTCCTGAACTAGACCATGCTCGATTGACATGTGTTGTCGTCTATCTAAGCCCCTTTTAGTAAGCTATTTGGCGATTAAAGAGCCATACATATTGTACATACCTACCTACCTACCTACCTACATACCTTATACAGATACATACAAACTTTCACCGATCCTGTCTCCATCTCCCCCCCTTTTTTTCCTTCTTATTCTTGCTAGTTGACGACAGGTTCGACGGCATGACTGCCGAGACACTTTTCACACCACTCCGTGTTGTCATACTATTATGTACAGAGAGCACACACAGACAGATTTTATCTACACTGTTCTATTACGAGAAATCTAACCCATTTCTGCGTGGCACTGCTGACCAAACCGTGCCTAAATTTGATGACGCCATCACGAGACAGAGCCACTCGTGTCTTTTTTGAATTAATTATTGGAAGATCAAATAATAACATAACTACCTAAGGTAAATAAGCTACGCTATCTTCTGGCGTCAGCGGAACTTGCCGATCACCAGACGCCCGTAGCGTTCTGGCCTTAACACGTCCCACTTGGGGATAAATACCCTAAGTTACCTTAGTGAGATGCATTAAGTCAGAGTCCTTGGGCTGACTCTAAAATGCTGTATCGTCAGGGTCCCTACCTACCTTAGGTACCTATACACTAGTTGATGACAAACCATGATATTTATATAAATCGTCTTCCGAGTGGCTTGTTATAATAGGACTTAACGCTCCGTATAACTATCCTTTCTCTCTCTCTCTTGGCAGCACGTCCAGCTTTCTCATCATTTACATAACAGGTACCCAACCCAACCTAATGTAAAACCTCATCGCGATAGAGTGGGCCAAGTCGCGTCAAAGCACAAAGAATGAACCCCAGTAAACTAATCAGAAACTAACCCGGCTTTAGCTATGCGGATTTACTACTTAACTAATCTCAACTAAACCCGGGGTATCAACCCGAACTTTCGTAGCTTTCGTAGAAATGTCTCCTCATAATTCGTTCGTCACGCTAGGTATAAGCCGTGAGGCTCTCAGCCTAGCAGCTTTTTGTCCATCCGTAATTGTCCTTTTATCCCATAGATATTTCCCATAAAGCAACTGTAACTCAGCGTACATATACTTCAACTCCTCCACCCATTTTCATAGTAGTAGGAAGCGCTGCAAGATAAAAGAAAGAAAAAAAAAATAGGGAAATGCAATCTGACAGGAACATTATAGTATAGTTATGTGAAATCAAATACAGCCCAAGCCTTTCAGGGTATCTTTACTCCCGCTTCTAGTCCATCGCAGCTCTCTCCACGTACTTTCGCAGATCGAGGAATAAATAAGAAAAACAGCGTGCCGCGAGACTGAAATCCATTTTCGAGTACATGTAAGCCTTACCTCACGCCTGGAGAGACACATTGCTTCCATCCAGAACACATGAACAGGAAAGACCAGATGGAAACATAATTCGAGTCGTAGGGCCTTAAACACGTGCTGCATCGCGCATAGTCTTCAGCTTGTTGGGAAAGCAAATTGCCCTCCATGTCCCATCTAGAATAAATAGTGGCCTCCAACGCCATCCAGCCAGACAGGACACATCTAGTATCCCTGGCCGTCCATAGGACCGTTGAATGAAGGCGGGTCCATGGCCATGAACTCAAGTAAGTCAACACCTCCCACGTTAACTCCCTGATCTGTCATTGTCACATTGGTATTCTCTCCCATGTTCTGGAATAGGCCAGGGCCCGGAGGGAGGTACCACATTTGGTCGTCAGCAGCCCAGTCGGCGCCTGGTTCAAATATATTATCGCCCATGTGAGATGATTCTAGAACGTTACCACTATGCGCTGGTGTAGCAGGCCCGAACACCGAAGCTGACCCGGCTGGATAAGGGAAATTGCCCGTCGTTAAGTCGAAAGGCGTGGCCGACACATTGCCTGAAGGGGTAGATGAGCGCTCTGCAAGACTGGCTGTTAGTCATACGCCAAGGATTTGCAATAACATTGGATGTGATAGGCTTACCAGGAACATTGAGGCCCTCTCTGAATTTAGTGTGGTTCAGGTACCCATTCTCGACAACGTTAGCCTGTAGGTTTCCGTTCGTAACCATGGCTCTGCTCACCTCGCCATTTTGACGAGGGCTCTTGCCTTCGCCAGAACCTGTCGCCGGCGCGTACTTGAAACGATCTC